AAACGCTTGGAATAACACAATAAAATTGCTTCGATTTAACAAGATCAATTGAACAAAATAAAATTAAAGGTATTATTATAATTTATAATATATAATATATAATATAAATATTATCACAATAATTATGAAGAATAATTAATTTTATCAATAAAACAGATCCGATAAAAAATGATGATTTTTGTTTTTATTATTTTTATGTGTTAAATAAACGATATAAGACCGGCAAAAATGAAAAATAATAAAGAATGTTTATAATTATTTTTAAAATAGTAAAGAAACATATAATTACTTAATTAAATAATAAATATATTGAATTAAAATTTTTTGAAAATATTTTTATAATTTTATTTTAAAATTATATATTAAATAAATAAAAATATGAAAAAAAAAGTGATTATTGATGCATCATCAGACATGAAAACATATATTTCAAGTTGTAAGTTTCGATGGTTAAAGCCGAGTTCAAGAGAATAACTAGACCACTGACTAGAGACTTACTATTAGGATAAATTCCTCTAAACTGACACAGAATGACAGACCTGCCGTCCTGTTTGCCTAAAGATCATCCTATTTAATTCAACTTATACGCCATGATATCTGATAAATCAGCCCTGGCTACTTATTCAGAGGCTCCTTAAAATAACTTACAATTTATTTTATAATTCATTGTAGTATATTTAAATAAAGTATACTGTCATGTTATTATAATGTTATTAGACTTTAACAAACATCAAGTCCACCTCTGGACTCACAGGAAGCTATGCTGACCTACAGTCCGTCATCAATTAAAAGATAAATAAACGATATGAATTCCTGTATAGTTGAAGCCTAGTGTGGGGCAGGGATAAGCCCCCTAGCCACAAAAGAACAAAAGTGCGCAATAGCTCTAACAACAATAACTAAATAAGCCAGAGGTATAGTTGTTTTATATGTTACTTTTGGAATAGGCGGTTGTTCTTTTGTGATATGCTTACAAAAGAAAAGGTCTATAGATATGATATTGAAAACATATAATCATGGAGTATAAAATAACAATATTAGTAGCTCTACATATAGGTGTACTTGGCCGCTCTGAAGTAAGGCAGAAAACAAACAGTCTCTTGCTGAAGTCTTTAATTTGTACGTACTAGATTTTAGCAATAGACTTATTGTTTTTTCCTTACGTTGGAGCGGCAGAATGCACCTACAAGTTGGGTTACTAATATTATATTTTATTATAAAGTTTTTATGGTTGACTATATAAGAAATTGTCTTGTTGTCTCCTAGTAGTAGACAGACAATATGTCAGCAAGTTCCGTTTAGCGAAATACTAATAAATAAAATAGAATCTTCTTGCTGAAATCTGTTTAAAGCCATTTAAATGCACGTATGTTTATCACAAAATTCTATTCGATTTGCACATCGTACACTCTAATCTGCCTAATGTACGAAAGACCGAAAAGCTAGCATTTCATGTCTACCAAAGGAACACATGCATACTAACATATGTAAATAATTGTACTTATGGATGCGGTTGTACACATAACGTCACGTCACATCACGTGCGTCAGTTTGTTTGTCTTTGCGGATGCCACTTCGATTTTCGTAGCGTCAAGTATGCAAAATTTGTAAATAATGTCGTTGTCAACAGTAATTTCAATTTCGACGTCAACGTCAACGTCAACGCGGGCGCCACTCAAAACTGTGCTGCGATTGCAAATGAATTAAAACACTTCCATTAAACGTACAGGTAGAAACAACAAAGCCAAAAACAATAACAACAAAAACAGTGCACCGCAAGGCTTACCGTCATTGTTTGCTTGTATTTGTAATGTTTTCAAATTCTTATGCTTTATGGGTTTTGTTGGTATTTTATTTTTGCTTTTTTTATTTATGTTTCAGTTTTATCCTCAGAACCTGCAACTTAACCAACAACAAGTAATGTTGATTTTTTTGTTAGTCGTTTTTCTTTAACACTTCTACTTCTCAGTGAATCCATTTGGGATTAACTTTTATTTTTTATTGATGTCGGCATAAATGTGAAGGGAAGGAAAGTATGGTAGTACCATTTGAAAGGTGCTTACGCCGACGACGTATTTTTGTATGATGTGTGTATTGCTATACGAATGAAGTTGTGTAAAGTTATGCGACGTGCGTTTTGTTCTGTATGAGTTTATGAGTAAGTGCTGCTTTCAATACGAGTATGCATGTGTATGTTGCGTTATTGGCTTTTGTACATAATAAAATTATTTATTGCATTATAAAATGCAAATTATCATTTTTATTTACAATTTGCATTTCAATAAATAAAAATAACAAAGCAAAAAAATATTTAAAAATATTGAAAGCAAAAATGTGAGGTAAAAATCGTGCAAATGTGGAAGCTTTTAACTGTATAAGCACAGCAGCTAAAAGGCTTATTTACTTACCATACACACATATGCACGTTTATAAATATATTTATATTGTGTACATACACACATATATACATAAAAAATATAATTCTTAACGTGATATGAATGAATTGATTTCGTATATTATGTCAATAAATAAGACAATTCCTTTAAATGTATATGTGTAGATATGTACATATATATGCATGTAAATTATAAAAGATATATTTAATGAAAACCTTTTATCCTTTTATTTGCATTTATACGCATTATTTTTATTCTTTGTTTGGTATGATAATTATTAGATGTTGAATACAAACGTTTGAAAAGTACATATTACATTGAGTATATATACGTACACACATACAAAAGTACAAATTTTTTTTTTTTGGATTTTGTAGCACATTCACACTGTCTCATTTAGGCGGTTTTGCTCATTATAGCCATTAATGAGGATAATTTGCCATACAAAAATCTTTCATATAAATGAACTTATTATCAATAAATCAGCTCATTTAAAACGAAAATTATCGAGTGCAACCCTTAAATATAAATTTCCCACAAGGGAAATCACCAAAAGTAGAAATATTTGTCATATATTTTATATGTAAAATGTAAACAAACACTTAAGCTATAAACAAAGGCACTAAAGAAGTAGGTGTTTAATAAAGTCTTTGTTTTTATTAATTGAATATTTAATTGATACATAAAATGTATGTGGCGAAAAACGATGCTATGTTTCTTATTCTTCTCTAAGACTGAAGTTTGTTTTTGTGCCAAATGCTATTGTTGAATTGAATACTAGATGGCGCTGAAGCATATGTGCCGGAATCGCCACATGCATTTAAATAATTTAATAACAATATCAATTAAATATTTGTTTTTTGTTGTGTTTTGTGATATATGTATATATTTGAGTGAGGTTTATTTATTTCATATAAAAGTTCTATTAGTTGGGTAAATGACTTCATTATGATGTGAACGTTTCTTCATTAATGTGAATGAGCAAGTACCTAAATGAGACGAGACAGTGCTATCGTACTATTAAGGCCGTGTGCGAGTTCGAGTAAATTGATGGTAAATGGAGGGAAATAGTAAATTATGTCGGCATGGCAGCGAATATTGGTATTTACCATAATTTATTTAATTGTTTGAATGTTGAACTTTCTAAAGTTCCTAAAAATTCCAGCAAGCTTTTGAATTGAATACACACAACTCAATTTAAGCCGTATTAATCTGATAATGGTGTGATACGAAAAAAATATGAGAATAAAGTCTTACTCTTATAAACAGGACTCTTATAAACATTTTTGTAATGAGATAATGATATCATAAAATCTTATAAGATCTTTTCTGATCATTATTATGGAATATCTGAATTAGCAATTGTGGATTGTCAATTTCTAGAGAAAAAATTTGTTTTGAAGAACTTTTGTAATAACAAAATATGTAATCAAAACAAATTGAAGGAGAATAAATGAAAAATACTGAGATCAACGATATTATTCCAAAAATGAAAATAGGGCGAATCTTAGAATGATTACAGGCTCCTTGAGAAGGTATGCAGATCTGAGGTCAATTATAGATTAGTTTGATAAAATGATAAACAATAATCCAGGCAAGACGTTTTAAAGATACTTTGTCAGTTAATAGAGAGAATAGAGAGTAAAAGTGCTCAAGTGCACTGATTCAAATAGCTACAACATAATAATATAAATGTATCATATAATGTATATTATATGATCACATATATATATACAATAATAATCCAATTTGCTTTTTATTTATATATATTATAAACAGAACAACGTGGTGGTTTTATTAAAGGAACAAGAGAAATGTTTCCCCCGCGCATAAGAACAATATTTTTCTGGAAAAGCAAGAAGTATGCGAGCCTCGTATCTCAGAGAAAAAAGTACTTTGTGATGTACCTGATTTACTAATATAGAATATGTACAATATTTTTTAAGAAACAATCTAAATTTCATAGTTCACTGTAAAATAGATAATTACTACTATCGATGCATCGAACTCTATACAATAAAATCAGAATAAAGCCGAAGATAGCACCGTGCTGCAGGCATTTTTGTACAAATATGTCTAGTGAGTATAAAAAATATTGAACATCTGAAATGTCTCTTTTGAGAATCTTTGTCTTATTTTAATTGTTATGTAAAACTATTGCTGACAAAAGTTTTAACAATTATTGAGCTTACTTCCACCTAATAAGAATTCAATAATAAGATATGTTAACTTATAATACCTCACCAAGGCATGTTTTTGCTTCTGTATAGGCGTTAATTCGTAAATAATGAATCAGGAATGCGAGTCTGTTTCTAGACTGATAGGTCATTAATCTCTGCTGCCGCGACAATGATACCGTGGTCACTAGTAAAAGTCATAGATTCCTTGCACCGACAAAAGCACTCATATACGATGACATTACTGTCGCAAATAGAATTGATTAATGATTTATATAATAATATTCACCAAAAGCGAAAGGCGGTATATATAGCCAATTTCTTGTACTTAAATTAAAAATTTATAAAAAAATACAGAAAATAAAAAACAAATTAATCTACGTAATTTTTTATTGTATTCGCAATATAACAATTGCAATTATTATCATGTCTGCTCATTAAAGATGTAAGTTCTGCAAGTCAGACACAGGGAAGAGTTTATGCTGTTGTGTCTGAATCTGATTCATCTGAATCGGTCTCGGTGTCGGCTTCAGTTGCAATTCTAGAATCGGTAGTAGCGGTATTAATAAGAACATTGAAATCACGAGTTAGGGCATTAAAAGTTGTGTGCCTGCCAGGTGGAGCGACAGAATCAATGCCATTTGTCATTGCTATTTGTACAGAACCGCGTGCACTATTAGCGCGAACCTGATTCGTTAGTACGGGAACCAAACCATATCGTATTCCAGTGTGAGGAACAGACCTGCTCACTAAGAATCAAGAAGTTAAATTACCGACGCTTATATTTTCAAAGATTGTCATTAATTGGAAAATACATACCGTTGCCCCGCACGACGTTATTCGCAGCAGTAACAGGAGGATCAATGCCATTTGTTATTGGTGCATCTCCCACACTAACACCATTGGCTGCATTTATAGGAATGCCAACAGCAGAAGTTGATGGAGCAGCATTAGCGCTGGACTCACGAACCGAAACATTTTCTTCATTGCCGGCCGACATCTTTAGTTTTGTGTTCTGGAATGTTTTTTTCAAAACAATTTTAGAATTATTTCGAATAATTAGTTATTGTGTGCACGTTACGACGATTTTACCAACTTCACTTCAAGATAAAGCATTAAGGAATTCTAGAAAGTTCTGTAATATTTTCATATATGATTGACATTCGCTGTCAATATTTGAATTAAAACATTGATAACTAGATGTGGCTGTATACTTATGGAATGACAGAAATACATAAAATTCGTGCCAGCCATATTTTTTTTAATATCTCAATGAATGTTTATTCTGTAAGGCTGTATTGGTCGTACTGTAAGAAACCAGCTGACCCGATTCCGTATTTTTCAAATTAAAATCAAGTAAAGTTAAAGTTAGCTTTAAAACCCTAAATCCTGTTTAAGAAATACTGTTTACACTGAAAGTACAGGAACGCTTTCAAGTAAAAATGAAGTAAAGCGTGCTAACCATTATTTGTTATTGATTTCAATCTAAATTCTGACAGTGGATATATTTTATATATAATGTGTAAAGTATTTATTATTTATTTTATCTGTATGAAAATCTTATCAGTATATACATTTTGCTATATTTCTTTTAATTTTCGTTACATAAAAATTATCTTTTAATTTATTGTGTTTGCCTTTTCATTATTTAAATTCAAATAATCTTTACTTTTGGATCGAAATAAATTCGAAACTATTTTTGCAACCAAATTTCGCGCCTTGACGATGAAAACATTGTTGAATATTCATGTTGAAGTTTTTAACACAAATTATCTGGTTTCGACCCGACTTAAATCTTCATCGCAGAAATTTTGTGCAGTCCGGAATGATAATTCACCCAAATGCATCTTTCACCTTGCCTGATTTTGGGTGCTTCCAGTGTCTTTCTGCTTGATTTCTACTACAAGTACGTGCAAGAACAGACCTCTTATGGAAAGCAATGTATTAGACTATTCGTGTCGAAGTAAAAGTAGTGGGAAACTGAGTAGTCAACAGGATTTTGAGGTTATTTACGTGAGCGTAGGGGAGATCCTATATAAGCTGATGCAAACATTGAAGAATTGTGTTATATACGTTTGTGTATGAACTATTTGGTGATTAGATTGAACTTTTGGTGTTTGTGTCTTCATGTTTTCTAGCGTTGAGTACACTTTGTCATCACTGACCATATTGCGTACATTCTGTTAGTTACGTTACGTTTTCTACAGTCGCTATATCTAGACAATTAGTTCAGTCCATAATCGTGATGCAGTTTACAATATTACACCATATTAAGGGAATTGTATCATAAGATATATATTCTTATGATGAAATGTTGTCTATGTAAAAATCAATAAGTTAAAACGTGATTGCTCAAGAGTTCACTCTAATAAATAACATTTATTGATTGATGTAGTGCAATATATGTTATTTGTTGTTGATGTCAAATCGTAATGTCAGATGTATTGCAATCAATGTTTTGTTGTTTAAAAAGAAAAAAAATTAAAATAGGAATTGTAATTTCACTTAATTTCTTCAAACACTTGCAATTTCGGATTAAATTAAAATGTTGTCCAATATTTTACAATAATGAGGATTAGCTGATGCTTGTCGAATATCGAAAAGATGATCAGACCTGATGCCTCGACAATTCTTTACCATGGCGGCTTGGTAACGTTATAACGTAACGTTCACAGAAACTAATACGCATAAAATTTGATCACTTTACCGAGGTACCGCATATCTTTATATATTCATAACTTAAAATATTGTTAAGACACTTTATTATCCCCATTCTTTATTAGTGAACCTGACAAACTATTTTGACAATACATATATGAGACAGTTCAAATTAATTGCATTTACTTTATGTGCAATACATAAACTTCTAATTAAAACCAATAATATATATATATATATCAACAGTTTTTTGGCTAGACTACTGTCTAGCAGGGACCGCAAATAAAAAGGTTAGAAAAATTTAAAAAAAAACAGCAACTAAAAGATGTTTAAAGTATTATTTAATGATAATAGCAATTTTCTCAAGGTTAAACATGCCGTTCGTTTACGAATTACAGGAACCCGAATAGACCCCGACTCTATGGTAATTATAATAATTTGATTTCAATGAAAGAATAAGTATTTCTGTATAGAATGAGTATTTTCACTTTGTAACTGGTATTATGGACGAATTACATTTAGGAAAGATTAACAAATCAATAATAATATACTACTATGTATATAACATTCATTTACGTTAAAGATAAACTGTGAACTATCAAATTTGAAAGTTAAGTATATTTAATAAAAAAATATTGAAAATCATATTAAATAATTATTAATTAAAAATCGATGGGAGAAGTGACACTTAAGAATGAACTAATTATTATTTGGTTCAAATAGAATTGAAATAAGTTGGCAACTGATATGAATCGTTTGGATTACCGGCTCTGACGGTTGCCAAGGAAACTAACTGTTTTATTCGCATGGAGGAAAAGCTAGGCGCTAGGTATAAAAAATATGTTGCCTGATGTTGAAAAAAGGAATGCTAACTTTTTAGGCATTTTGAGTATGAGCATATAGCATTGATTAGAGCAATGGTACCCAACTGGTTGTCGGCGGACCAAAGGTGGTCCGTTAGATGATTAAAATTCTACGTGAATCAAATTTAACAGGTCACTGAGACCTCACTTATTAGAAAATGAGCACAAAAAATTTTCGAGTAATTATATACATATTTTATAATCTGTATAATGTATCTATGCACTTACACAATTCTTTATACATTCTATTAAGAATGCATAAACCATATTAAAAAATCATACAGTTTGTTATTCAACAAATATATGTTATAATAGTCTTTGGTTAAAAAAATGTTTGGAACTGCTGAATTAGAGGAAGTGAGGCACGCACGAAATTCATTAAAATTAGAACGCTTGGAAGGAAAGTGGTTAGAGTAGTGAATAATACTTTCATTATGGACATTAAAAATTCAATGAATATTGGTATCGATGGTAAGCATAAACAACATTCTACGCAATGCGATGATGCTATGCAAAGATCTCATTAAACACTTTGGATTTGGCAGAATAAACATATATCAAATTGCTCTTTGCATATGACTCATTAAGTCTAGATCTATATAAAATTAAAACTTGTCGGCTTGAAAAGAGTTAACAACAAATGATTTTTTTAAAATTTCAGAAAAACTTTTTATCTTTAAAACATGTAGAATATTTTTAATCATTACTTTTATTGAAATATGTCTCTGAGGGGAAAGGATATTCGTAGGCAGTAAAATACCACAAGAAAAACTTAATCTTGCTTATGTTGGATAAAGAGTATCTTACGTATTGGTCGACAGAATATAAATGAACACAAACATTTGTTTTTTTTTGATTTTTTTAAATGAAATTACCACAACTCCAAACCGAAGTTGTCAAATAAAACTCTTTAACATTTACACAACACAGTCAAGTTAGGCAAAACCAAGATATTGACACTGGTAGTTGCTGCCACAGTGAAGTTGCAATATTAAATGGAGGATAGTCGGTGGTTTGGAGACATCATTCCGATTCAAGTCTAAAAGTGGCGGTCACTTTTTTCTGTGTTCCTTCGGAATGAAAAGCCAGGATTTTTGGGACAAAATCAATGCATGAATATTAAAATTAAAAAATGTGAACATTTTAGCAACTACAATGTATGCGCATATCCTGCCAAAAGGACTTTCATTGACAATGTATTTGTTTGCAAAACAAGTTACAAAATGCCATTTTGTTGCAATTTTTTCCCCAATTGTAGATTTGGCTTGCTTAACTAGCCGGACTAGTTGTTCACTAGGCAGCAACAGTTGCAAAGGAATTTTTACTTGAGGTTGCTTGACTGTAGTATTTTTCGCATAACTGGCATAACCTGGCGTATTCTGTCGCAGTTTTGTGAAGAGGAGCATGGGGTATGGTATGAATTATTCATGAATTTCCGACAGCAAACCTAAATGTATTAAATAACAGATACAATAACAAAAATAAGCATAATACGTGTACCTAAAAGTGAACGAACGATAACAAAAGTGATTAAAACCGTGAGCCATAGTAGCAAAGTTGCACGAGGGCTATTTCGATGAGCGCAGATAGCCATATCGACTGATAGTTAGAGAGGAGTAACGAATGATTTTTATGTATGCATGATAAAAATATGAAAAGGCTATTGTATTTAGCAAAACATAATATAAAACATAGTACATAAATGCATTAATACACACAGACTGGCTTGTTACTATGAAATTCAAAAAATTTATATCGTCGCATCGTTTCAACCGGATATATGACTTAGATTTCATCCAGTTTCTGGTTACCAAAATTGATGTCCTACGCTAAATTCTTCAATTGTTGTTTTTCTGGCGTTTTTTAAGATAGTTTTTGTGCTACTGAAATAGTGCATAAGTCACTTACGTATCTTATAAGAAACTGCAGTTTGTTGTTTTTTAAATGATAAATATTTACAATTTAAGAACTTGGTTTTTTCATAAAGTGCTTTAAATTATTCCTGTTATGAGCTACAGTTTTCAAATTACTAAAAGATGTGCTCATTTTTCTGCGAGCGAATGGATTACAAATCCATTGAAATCCATTAAATAGCTTTTTATTTATATATATTCGAATAACAAAATGGCTATAAAGTCTCTCCAATACTGCACCACGAAATCCATTTTGTTCGGAAGCCGTTAACATCTATGGCTTATTGTCATGGGCTAAAGTTCATAGATTGTTGAAAGATTTGCTCGTTTTTCTAGCAAATCCGTTAAAATCAATATATAAAATGCTTAAAATGGTGATAAAAAAAATGCTTTAATTATTGTATATTCGAATAGCAGGACAGCTATAAAATCTTTCCAATCTTGGAACAATTAATCCAAGTTGTTTAAAAGGTATAAAAATCTTTTATCTATATTGGTTATTACGAACTTGATAACACTTGTTTAGATAAGTAACTACGAACTTGTTTAGATAACTTTCCGCGGTAAGATGAGAAATCAGCTAAAAAAGTTGCTAAAAAGACTTTTTGCGAGACGTCCGCTTGTCAAACAAAACCAGTCATTAGACACATGGAATATAAGCCATTCAAGAAGTCCTAGGCCGACTCTAAAGACTAACA